TGCATATATTTGGGCTTGAGGGGCTTGAATTGCAAAGCACTCTGCTTTGGATTCTTTTTTTATTTTTTATTTATTTTATTTTTTTGCCTGATTAGACAAGGCCCACAGTTTTAGCTCCCGGTTGTTCTTCTGAATTCAATTGGAGTTATGTGACCTTCATTCACTCACTGAGTATTTACTGACACCCCAGCAGCTTGTGTTGATGCTACAGTGATGAGCAAGGCAATCAAGATTTCTGGTCTCATGGAACACCTTCTGATGGATGTACAGACAGAAAATAAACAAGGAAGCACATCAATAGACCCAATACATAAGTGCAGATACTGATGCATTGAAGTATCTATTGCTTCAGAAGAAAAAAAAGAAAGAGAATCCTGGGGAAATATTTAAAGAGATGGGAAATAATGAAGAACCTTGCAAAAAAAAAAAAAAAAAAAAAAAAAAAAAGCTGTGGTGTTCCTGACAGTGAGAACAGCGAATGCAAAGACCCTGCACTTGTGGGACCCTGAGGGTGAGCGGGTGTGTGTGGGGGGGTGCGCTTAAGTGTGCTTCTCCATTGCTCACCCCAGTTCTGACCCTGTCTAAAGGCCCCAGGGGGAGCGTTACCTTGGGGTGTTCAAGGCTCAGAAAGAAGGCAGTTGGGGTAGGAGCATGATGGGTACAGGGAAGTGTGGTGTGAAATGAAATCGGAGGGACAGTTAGGGACCACAAGATGAAGAGTTGAAAACAGCCACAGAAGAAAGAATATCTGCTTCATTGTTGGAAACGTTTATTCCAGGTTTTTCGTGGATAATAGGTTGTATGGAGCATCAAGTATCAGCGAGAGCCCAGCTAGAAGGCAACTCATCATGGAAGAATGAGGTGGGGAGAGCTTGACTGATGAAGGTCTCAAGCAAACATGCTCAGGCAGCTTTAAGAATATTACCCACAAAGGCTTTACCTGGAAGGAAGCAAGGGAGGAAGGGGGAAGACAAGATGGAGGAAAAAAGAGAGCAGAGTTGCTTGGTTCTTTTAAAAAGAGTTGTGGTGGGGGAGGCTGGCCCACCTCTTGGTTCTTACATGTGTCTCTCTGACCCAACTCTTAAAAGTCCAACCTCCTGACCCTCCTCTTCCTCAGTTCAAGGCTAAGCCATAAACTCTATCTGCAGGGAGTCTTGTTTAGTTACTCGGACACGCAGGAATTTCCTGTTTAAAGTCCTATATCACTTGCTTTGTTTTCTACACTTTTGTCCTTGAACCTGGTTCTGTTAGGAATCATCTGTGTAACTCTAACCTCTTCAAATGTATCTATACCTCACACCTTTCCTCCTTCTCTCCTTCCTTTCCTTCCTTCCACAGATAATTAATGGATAAGATAATATGTGTCAGGCACTGTCCTAGACATTGGTGGTGCCATCTTTAGCCAATTGGGTGCCAGCTCTCATGACACTTATTATCTAACAGAAGATGGGGTGAGGGATGACATTGGTACAATAACCAGATTAATAAGTGGGCAACTACAACTTAGGCATGTGCTCTGAATAATGCATATGTGTTGCTGTGGCAGAGCCTAACAAAAGGAGATGACTTAGTCTAGGGAAATCAAGGAGGGTGTCCCAAATAAGTGCCATTTAGAGCGGAGGCCTTAAAGCTGAAGAAAATCTTGAAAGATGGGAGAAAGAGGGACATGAGCTGAGGCAAGAGAACCCGTGTTGTGGATTCTGGTGTCCACATTCAGGGCAAAGGAGAGAACCGCTGAAGGCACAAGTCAGTTTCTGATGAGAGGCATCAGGACATGATCACTGTCACCATGTTAAATGCTCACACTGGCTCCTGTGTGGAGAATGGAGTGTGTTAGGGGAGGTAGAGTGGGTGCAAAGACACAGCTAGGAGGTGGCCGCAGTCCCAGGTAAGAGATGCTGGCAGCTTTCACGAGGAAGGTGACCTTAGGAAATGGAGAGAAGTGAACAGATTCTAGAGGCACTTAGGAGGCAACGTTTCCCAAGGATCTCATTTCTTTATGGGCACATAGTAGGGCTCCTTGAAGTAAGTGAAGACAAGGATTTGTTCTGCAGTCTATGTGGAAATGATAGCGCTCATAATACACTTCATTGCAGAAGAACCATTTGGCATGGGTTTCTGATTTCCAGGACTGCCCTTACTTGGAGGACTTCAGAACAAGAAGGCATTGCACTTTGTAATAACCCAGTGGAGTCCCAAACTACCTACGATAACAACTGCTAATAGTATAAGCTCCATTAATCAGGGAGTCTGTGTAGGCTCCGGAGACATAGGAAACCTCAGGCAGGTTACTTAAACTCTCTTTGCCTCAGTTTCCTGATCTGTAAACTGGGGTAATAATAGGTCCTAATTTACAGGGTGATTGTAAGGATTAGGTGAAACAACCCACATTTAGCACAGTGACTGACATGTGGTAAGTGCTCAGTAAATATTAGTTACTACTATTATTAAAATAATTGTGACCTCCATTTCATTAAAAGAAAACAAGATCAAGAAGAACTGTTTAATCATTTTAAAAGACATAAATAGCTTTCTAGAGGGTCATACAGCATTAAACAATTTATATAAAGACACACAGCTCTTAAGTGGGGAGCTGGTCTTTGACACAGATCTGTCTAGCACCAGAAGTGGTTTTGACCACTATGCAGTGGTCAAAGCCATAAAAGCAAGAAAAGGGGACCACCTCCGCCACCTGCCATTTTTCATTTAGGATGGACGCATGTTACAAGAGCTGGCTCTGTTGCTAGATCAGCTGTAGGCTAAAGGGAAGCATCCATGAGGAGTGATGACCCTTTCCAGAAAGTGACTAGAATGATGAACTTGAGGATTCATCCCATCCCACGTAAATGGTAATGGCTTCCATGCCATAGTGAGCACAGTAAGCTTGATTCCTAAGGCGCAGAGTCATGAAAATAGGGAAACCTTTCCATTTCCCCTGAGGGCCTTTCAGAAGATGGTACTATTATCATGCCAAGCTTATAACATACTTTTCTCATGAAATATTCTATATCCCTTGAGGTAGGTAGTATTGGGGCTCTTACTTTACAAATAGGAAACAGAGGCTTAAAGAGGTTAAATATTTCACCCACATCAAGAAAGTGATAGAGGGAGGATATGAATTCAACTCTAGTTGGCTACCCTGGCCTCCCCAAGCTGTGAGGCTTGTTCGTCTATGCTGCCCCTTCCAGCCCATGCTTATACACAGTCCCAGAGGCCCTCTCTTTCACTCCTGAACAGGATCTGATGTCAGTCACGTGCAACTAAACATTTTGCTTAGCGGATGTCTACCTCTCCAGAGATTATTTGTATGTAGCTGCCAGTGGGCTAGAAATGGCTTATACTGGCTCATGGAAGCTGACTGTTAAATTTGTTGTTGTTAATCCTCAGCAGATATTTTTCCATTGATTTTTAGAGAGAGTAGAAGGGAGGGGGAGAGCCAGAAAGAGAAACACATCGATTGGTTGCCTCCCACACGTGCCCCCAAGGAGGCCAGGAATTGAGCCTGCAACTGAGCTACATGCCCTTACCTGGAATTGAACCCTTAACCCTTCAGTCCACAGGCTAATGCTCTAATCACTGAGCCAAACCAGCTAGGGCCTGACTGTTAAATTTTCAGGAATTTTGTGAGCCAGTAGACATTACATCAGTAGTTTGAAATTGGCCACAATGGGAGTATTTACACCAGAGGAAGCAGCAACCGCTCTGAAGTAGAGCTCCCCAATACTCTACTGTCACTAGTACTACAATGGCTGTTAAACATTTACCAACATACCACCAGGCCCCCTAATCTTTCATTGTCTTCTGTTAAGCACAGCGTCCGATATGTGGTAAGTGCTCAGTAAATGTCAGGCATCAGTGACCACTTAGCAAAGAAATTCGGCAAGCACAGGGGAGCATCTGAAATCATGTCTACCAGTGAGCCAGCTCTATGCTTCTTTCTGGCCCACTGCTCCAGCAGGAAGACAGAGTTCTGCTGAAAACATTTGCACATCTCAATAAGGGAAACAGACATGAATCCATGAGCTAAATCCATGTTAAAATAAAAGGCTCAACCAGCATTATAATGACAATGGATATTTAAAGTTATAAAAACATATTTAATTTGCAGAATTATAGAATTTGTTCCTGAAAAGGTAGGACTATTTTTCACAGGCTGTCATAAATCTAGTGCCAAGCTTATAACATACTGCAATTTGCTAAAGATGGCAAACTACATAGTTTTGATAATTTATGTTGCTCTTATTATTATTGTTGTTATGGAATATAAGAATGTCTTTAGATATGAAAAGACTAACTTAGCTAAGCAGCTGTAATCTTCTGGATAAGAATCGCCAGTCTGTACTGCTTAACACTTAGCACTGCATGGTAATCCTAGTCTCCTAAAAGTTTGTAAGGGATAAAAAGGTTGACCATTGTGCCTTGCAAATTTGAGACAATTAAATGCCCAGAGAATATTTTTCCAAGATATCAGATTAGCGATGACCATTGAAACAAAATTGATTTGAATTCATAAAAATGTTGACACTGAACCCATCACTTAGCCATTCCAAGTACTAATTTCATCCAGTATACATTAGGGAAACTGAGCAAGATCATCACTTAGGTCACAGTGACTGCTAATATTTTATTAATCTACATTCCATAAAAGTAATTATTTCAAATGAAGTTTAAATTCTACCCAATCATAACATTTGCCACATGAAATATTAGAATTTAAACACTGAACTCTAACTTGAAGGGGGGGGAAAAGCTAATGAATGTTAAATTTACTCTTGTATAGATTTTAGGACTAAAATCACCTAATACAACCACCCCATCTCTTGACTTTTTTCCACATTTTCTTCTGATTACTCTTATTGTACTTTTTAGGCTGTTATAACGAGCATGTCCCCTGTGTCCTTACTTTATTCCATGTATATCTTCATTCAGCCCAGTCTAAGTAGAAAATACTGTTTTTAAAAAGACAAAAAAGCCCCCCAAAACACAAAGTTCTCACATACCCCATGACGGTCCTCAAAATACGCCAAGCTGGTTTTGGTTAAAACAAAGAAGCGGACTTTAAAGTTCGAGGGAGAAGTTCTTCTCTTTTGTTGGGATTTCTTGATGAGCTGTTCTTCTAGGAGGATAGAGTTGTTGGAGTTGTTCATGATCCAGTTCTTGAAAAGTGATGCACCTTGGGCATCAGCCCTCAGCACAACCAGAGGAAACAGCTTCAGGGCAAGGAATGCAATGGGGAGGCAGTTGATCTTGAGAGAGTTGTTCAGAGGCAACTTGCCTCCAGCGTTATCTTTCTATCAGTGTTCAGTCAACATTGCTGAGCTTCCCCTCTGATGTCAAAGGCCATAACCACATCCTTTCGAAATTCACAAAACTAAGAGGCATATGTAAATAAAATACTCACACTCTTTGCTGTATGGTTTGAAAATGATATCTGAAAAACTTTAGACTCAATGACATGAAAGATTAGAGTTTAATCTTTAGAGTTCTTGGTTTAGCCTATCCAACAGTTAAGGCATGTAGCACAAAGGGTAGGAACATAGTCAATAGGCATAGTTTGTGTATTAGTTTACTATTGCTGCTGTAACAAATTTTCACAAACTCAGTGACTCACAGATTTATTGTTTTAGCATTCTGTTCTTCAGAAGTCCAAAATGGGTCTTACTGGGCTAAAATCAAGATGTCAGCCAGGAAGGATCTCTAGGGTAGAATCTGTTTCTTCGTCCTTTCCAGCTTCTAGTGATGCAGGATTTTTGGACTGGAACCCAGAATCTTTGTCTGCTGGAGTCGAAGAATGAATCCACGGACAGAAGATGGTATAGCAAAGGTGGAAATTTGTTAAAGAATAAGTACAGACTCCCATGTAGGGAGGGGGAAGAGTCTCACAGAACGGAGACCCACCTGGGTAGGGGGAAAGGGTCCCACTGAGTTCCTTTTCCCTATGGCTTATAAAGACTGCAGATCCTTGTGCCTTGATATCCCCTCTGATTGGTCACTAGTCCCTCACTGGTTACTAGAGTAACTCCTGGGCTCAAAGGTGGAACCTCACATGGGACATGTGAGGTTCTCTCCCCCCTCCTTCCTTATTGTTTTCCTATTCCCTTTGGGCTTTCTTCTTCTCCTTCTGGATGAAGGGCTTCCTTCTCTTTATTTTGTAAATATAGACCTTTTGCTGTTCCCAGCTCCCTCATTCTATGGAAATATACTTGTTGCAGCTTTTCAGCTCCCCTATTCTATGGAAATATACCTTCTGCTGCTCTGCAGCCCTGTGTTTCTTCCATGGTCCCCTTAATTTCTAAAATTCCCTAAAACTTGTCTTTTTCACCCCTAGAAACTCCTGTTTCACAACTGTAAGCCCTTTTTCTGCCTCCCTCTTTCATACTTAAGTACCCTTGAGATTGCCTTGGTACTGCCTGAATCATCTAAAATAACCCCCCTGCCTGACCGGTGTGGCTCAGTGATTGAGCATCAACCCAGGAACCAGGAGGTCACCAGTTAGATTCCAGGTCAGGGCACATGCCTGGGTTGTGGGCTCAATCTCTAATAGGGGTTGTGCAGGAGGCAGGCGATCAATGATTCTCTCTCATCATGGATGCTCCTGTCTTTCCCTCTCCCTTCCTCTCTGAAATCAATAAAAAATAAAATAAAATAACCCCCATATTTTAAGGTCAAATATTAGTAACCTTAATTTCATTTCATATCTTAATTCCCCATTGCCATGTAACCTTACATATTCACAGGTTCCCGGGACATGAGTATCTGTAGGGGAGCCATTATTCTACCTACCACAGCTTGAAATCTGGCTCCACCACTTAACTAGCTGTGAGATGAGACAAATTACTCAAGAGCTCTGAGTCTCATTTTTTCTAATCTGTAAAAGGGAATAACAGTGCCCCTACATAAGGTACCGCAGGGCTCCCCTCCGGCTTCCTTGCCAGTCTCATCTCACACCTCGCTCACACATTCTCACTCCAGCCCTCATGCATGCTCCTTATGCTGCTTTGAACATCTGTTCATCTTGCCTGAAAACATCTTCTCTCCCTACTTTGCCTGGTTAACTCTAAATTATACTGCAAGCCTCAGCCCGCATGTCACCTCCTCAGAGAAGTCTTCCTGGCTTTCCTAACTCAGATCCACCAATTTTACCCAGATGACACCTTACACATTTCTCTTTTACCTCTTTGTGACAGTTGCAATTGTACATTTTGGAGGGTGATTTTTGGGTTAATGCCTGTGTTCCCCAAGTCTAAAAGGTCCATGATGGTCAGGATTATGTGTAGTTTTGCTCATCATTATATACTCAGCAACCATCACAGTGCTTAGTACATAAAAAAGGATGTGTTGAGTGAATAATCACCAAACTGGGTCTGACAATTAAAAGAGACATGAAGCATTAAAACACTTAAGAAAAACATATTGAAATTATTTATTTTAAATAATTTAAATAAAAACCCGTAGAAATCTCTCTACACTGCAGGTAGATAATTACTTTTCTGTTCCAAAATTTAGTGGAAAAACAGAAAATAAGTAAATCTCTCAATATGGCATAATGAACAAGGCCTGCATTGGCTCTGAAGGTAGACAAAGGTGTGTTGGAATCCCAGTTCTGTCACTTACTGAGCTGATTATATCTCAGTGAGCCCCTTACCTTGTCTGTTCTTTAGTTTCCTTGTGAGGGGCCTTTTGAGAACTGAATCTGTGAATGGTGGATGCTATGTATCTCGCCTTAGAATTAGTACATATTTGAAGTATAATACGTGAGCCCTTGTCTAGCATGAATAGACAAGAAATCGCAGTGTAGACAGAGATGGCATATACTGTACAGAGATAAATAATGAAACAAGATGATCATTATTGCTGTATAGAAATGCAATTATCTAAATTAATTTTAAAATGTAAATTATAAGATTACAGCTTAATGTTGTTTCATATATTGGCTGCCCTGCATAATCAAGGCGCTCAGAATGGTGGGGAAGGGGGCACTTTAAATGACCCCTCCTCCCCCATTCTGAGGTTTTAAGACATATTCTCAGAAGAAGAAATGAAAATGTATATATATATATATATATATATATCTTTTGAAATGTGTTTGAGACAGTGATTTCTATTTTCTACAAGTATCTACTCTCCCTTTCTTCCCAGGTAACTGATTCTCTAAAGGTTACCTGGACCTCTGGCTAGCCAGAATAAAGATTACATTTTTCAGACCTAGTCTGTTTGGCTTCGTGGATAGAGTGTCAGTCTGCAAACCTAAGGGTCCCCGGTTCGATTCTGATCAAGGGCATGTACCTAGGTTGCAGGCTCCTCCCTGGCCTGGGCCCAAGTCAGGGCACATGCGGGAGTCAACCAATTGAAGTGTTTCTCTCACATCAATATTCTCTCTCTAAAAGTCAATGGAAATATCCTCGGGTGAGGATTATTTAAAAAAAAAGATTACATTTTTCAGTCATGTAACTGGTTTCTAGCTAATGGAACATAGCCTAAGTGATGAGCATGACTTTTAAGGAATGTCCTTAAGGGCAATCATCAGACCATATTCATTCTCTTTTTCCTTCTTCTTGCTGACTAGAATGTGGATGTGGTTGGAGCTAGAGCAGCTGCATTATATTATGAGGTAGAAATTATATGTTGAGGACAATGACACATAAAATAGAGGGAGCCTGGGACCTGGTGACCTTGGGTCCTCCATGTCAGCCTGGGAGCACTTTTTTTTTTTTTTTTTAACAAAAAGAAATAGGGGAGGGGGATAAAAAAAAAATTTAGGCCCTTGTTATTTTGACATACTGTCATAAACACAAACCTAATTCTAACTAATACACTGCTATATTCCAAACTAGACTGTAAACTTCTTTGAGAAGGAGAGATTTATACCTGGTTTATTCAAGTTAAAAGATGTACAGGCTTCACAAAGTATCTTATGTGGGTACTAGAGGCCCGGTGCACGAAATTTGTGCACTTGGGGGAATCCCTCAGCCCAGATTGTGGGAGGGCGCAGGCAGGCCGAGGGGCCCCACTGGTGCACCATCAGGGCCGGGGAGGGACTGCGGGAGGACTCTAGGGAGTGTGCAGCCAGTCTCAGTCCCAATCAGCTGGACCCCAGTAGCAAGCTAAGCTACCCGTCAGAGCATCTGCTCCCTGGTGGTCAGTGCACATCATAGCAACTGGTTGACCGGTCGACTGTCTATCCCCTGGTGGTCAGTGCACATCATAGCGAGTGGTTGAGCAGCCTTAGCATATCATTAGCATATTACACTTTGATTGGTTGAATGGTTGACCAGCTGACCGGACACTTAGCACATTAGGCTTTTATTATATAGGATTGTGATAGGAACCTTTCATTTGCCAAGTTTCCATGGAGTACAGTCATAAGTAATTTTATTTCCTCTCTCATAGCACCTTCAAACTCACTCACTGGGATCTGTCTTTGTAACCTTAAGGTCCCAATATTTTCCCTCTTACTTTCAGGAACATGTACGTGAAGATGAATAGTCCCTTTGCTTTTGTTACAAAGTTCAATTCACAGGAGCCAACTTCAAGAAGCTCCCGCTCATCAAAGATGGAAGAATTTGGGCATCAAAAAGAACAATAATGTAAACAAACTGAAGAACAACCAAAATGTTAAAATCACAAGTTCATAAGATATTTGAAGAAAAATCCCAACTCATTGATCATTTTTGGAAGATGCTGGAGAACCAATTTATTATTCTGGAAATTTCCTGAGGAACTCTATCTCAGTTTAGTAATCAAATATTTAATAAGGGAAAGTCCTTTAGAAAAGAATTCCAGCTAATACATGAAAAAGTGATAGAATATCACCACTTTGCAATCCCAATGACATAATGGGTCTGTGCAATCATCATCAATGACTGCTAAAATCATTATGTGAGCCCTAGCTGGTTTGGCTCAGTATATAGAGTGTTGGCCTGAGGACTGAATGGTCCCAGGTTTGATTCCGGTCTAGACCATATGCCCAGGTTGTGGGCTTGATCCCCAGTAGGGGGGATGCAGGAGGCAGATGATCAATGATTCTCTCTCATCATTGATGTTTCCATCTCTCTCTCCTACCTTCCTCTCTGAAATCAACAAAAATATATTTAAAAAAAATAAAATCATTATGTAAAAAGCCATCAGGAAAATTTATAATTTATAT